TGGATTCTAAAATTTCAAATCAAATGTAAAACTTCTTACCATTTTTGACCATTTTGGCTCACCCTTTATAGCAAAGTTACAGAACTTGTCAGAGAAATAGAAAGAAAAATCCTATACGAAATTGTATTAAATAACATTTTTCGTGTTACATAGAAAATTACATATTACCTGTTTTTGCACGAGTTCGCGATGCAACGCGATCTATTTTACTAAAGACGGTTAGTGAAGGTCGTAACTCTTCACTCCGATGTTTCGACACCGCGTATCGTACAGTGTTTTTCCTTACGAACGTTTCCGGAGGTAAGGAATGATACTTGAGATGTGTCTTTTGGTTTTACTTGTCCTCGTGAAGTGTCCTTTTTGAACTCTCTATTTTGTGGTGGTGCGTGGGTACATATTGGGTCGGTGTATGTTCTGATTGGTTGGACGTTGAAAGTGGTGGAAAAGAAGGTCTCGAAAAATGCGGAGGTGTGATTGGATATTAGGAAACTAGTGGAAGGAGAACGTGAGGGTGAAGGTGGTGGGCAAAAGTTGAAATAATTTGGGAAAAACCCGGAAAGGGGAAAGGGATAGGAAACATGACCAGGATGCGACTTGAACTGCTTTATGGTAGGGAAGGAATTTGTTAGGGGCTAGGAAGACGGCTGGAAAGGACTGTGTTACTGGCCAAGGACAATCGAACATTACCCATGAAATATCTGCAAAAATGGAACAAACTATTGCAAATCATTCCAAACCACTGTGGTACATTTACAAAACAGTGCGACCCAATTATCTGTTAGATTTATCAGTCAGTTAGATACAACAAAAATTAATCTAAGGCCTTACTAGGAAGTATATATTACTTTTGTATACCACCTCTGTTTAGTAAAGATCTAAATGTTTATGATACGTGACAAAAGGCCCTTCGGTCCCAAGCGGGGTCGTAGGCAATATACAGTGCCTCAGTCCGTAGACAGTGCTCTTACCATCAAGTAGAAAAGCGAACCTTCCTTGTGTCCAATAAAAATGATTAATTATTTAAAAACCAACAACTCCCATAATCCAATATTATCAATACCGATTAAACATTTTTCGTGTTGCACAGCAAATTACACAATACCCCTCGAGCATCTACAAAACCAAAAAGAAACTATTACCAATCATTCCAATACCACCACAATTATCTGACCCAATTATCAACAACGACACGCTAAATCCACAAACAACCAAGTTCCAATCAAACAACTTCCCCAAACATACTTATCATCCGACAAGCTTACAAAACAATTTACTTTGCACCGTCCAGTTTCCACACAAAATCTCGAAAAGCAAGCTCCGCAAAAAACCGACGAAACAATAAGCAGTACGACGGCGAAAGATGCTCTCGAATAACGCGATATCGGTATGTTCGCAGATATTATAGGCAAAAGTAGTTTTTTGCGGAGAAAGAGGAGTATATAGTAACAGTGGAGATGGAAGAGCCGGTGTTGGAAGGGGTAGGGCTAAACGCATCCCTGCCAGACCAGCCACCTGCCTACCAACCCTGTCTGCTCCACAACGTTTCCCAGTATTCGAGCGATCGCTAGCACTCGTGCACGTATAACCCCTTGGCCGGGGATGTGCGTAGATCGCGCCATCGTGTCGACACACATCGTACTACGGAACTACGTGCGAACTAACGTAGTAGAAGCGTGCTTCAGGTGATGTGACGTGCTCTCTCCCTCACTCTCCCTCTCTCACTCTCTCTCTCTTTCTCACTCTCTCTCTGTGTAATAGTATCCTGGTGTTCTGTTCTCAATGCGAGTTCCATCGACGGTGAGATCGGGCCTGCAACTCGCGCCGTGATCCATTTCTGCCCTCAGCTATCTGTTCGTAACGCCACCGCCGTTGCCTGAGGAGCTATGGATCCATCGGGAGTCACCGTACTGCTATGCAACGAACGCTGAAACGAAGGACGCACACCCTGGCTGTGTGAGATCCTTCAGGACCGTTGCTGATACTCCGCCGCGGTGCTCTGTCTCATGGAGAAACGATCGTTCTACGTGGAAGTTGATTTCCGAGGGCAAAGTGGAGATCCCGCAATTTTTGATACTGGTTTACCGTGATTCTTCGAAACTGTTCCCTTTTTTAATCACGCCGATTCCGGGTGGCACGTGAAATTTGGAACGGTCGAAGAGAGAAATACGGAGGAAGTTTGGATCGATGGAAATGATAAGGGATGAACTTTTGTCGGATCGATGAACAGGCAAGAATTTTGAGAGAATTCGACGACGGTTTCGAAGATCGAAGATAAATCTTGGTTATATAGCACGAAATATCGCAATTCGAAGATTGTACACGCACGTTGGATATTTTTCTTTCCTCTTTTCGTTTCTTCTTCTTCAAGGATACCTAATGACCTCGTCGCGTTCGCTCGACATAGAGCGATAGAGCCGCGAGAAGTTGTTTGTATGGAAAAGTGCATCAATGTTTACTGACTCTAATAGGTCAGACGAGGAGCCGTACACTTTTTATACTTGACTTTTGCACACACAACGAGTACCTCTCGTTTTCAGCTCCTTGTCAGCGTTTCGCTTCTTTCTTTCATTGTACCAAGACGCTCGTTAGAAGAGATGCCAGGCAAGGATGCTGTCTGCTACTTCCGACAGGCTGACTAATGCACAATAAGAAATTTTCACGTGGTCGGAATCTGAAGAAACACCGAATAGCAACTCGCTAACGTCTCAAATCTAGCGAAACAAAATAACGTTGAATTTAAACAAACTTCAACGTACGTAGATTAAAAAAAAATTTCTTCAAATTTTAACGAATTAAATGAAATTACTATTACCAATTTCAATCGTGTTAACGAACTATACAAAAGTAGAAATGACGGATTCGTTGTACTTAGGTGTCCAGCTGTTGATTCAATAAAGCTGACGAACTTTGGGATATTCGCTTGTTATTCCTTCCATTACTTCAGACACGATTATTAACGAAGTACTTGCAACACAAATGACATTTAACAAGCGAACGTAAGCTGTTCTATCGCCAATTGAATTTTTATCGCACGCTGATAATTCACAGTTCAGTAGCTTCCCTCGACCTTTTGCATCTCAATATTCTCGCGCCTCGAAAAGCATTACTTGACATAAACAATCACCGGTATATCACAGCGAACGCTGCCTAACATGGCTACGTGTTTCGACCAACCTTCGTTTCGCGCTTCACAAAGGAACGGGGTCATTAGGTACGCGAGAAACCAGGAAGGGTCGAGGGAAGTTGGCCACATGAGAATAAGTTGCTGCGGCACTTTCGTCGGTGTCTTTCTTTTATTTCGAAAGGATGTCACGACGGTCAATCCTTCGTAGTTTGATATCCGTTGGGATCTGTTTAAAATCGTTCCGAATTGCCATTTCCCTGATCGTTGCTCACAGAATTCACCTTAGGCAGACGTAACAGAAAGGCAGCTGTTAGAAAAATTGGAAGTATTTACAATCGGATTTAAGATTTCTACGAACCCGCGGGATAATCGCGGTATTTTAACGTAAGCTCGTGTTAACGATCGAAAATCTTGCCCGATTTCCGTGAATATCGTTCGTTCGATCGTCCGACGCCTCTAAACTATACCGAGCCGATTTTTAACGGTACTAATTTACGCCGAACTAGCGAAGAGAAAACTGTGAATCAACGGATGAACATTTGTGATTCATCGTTTCGAGTGGCCGCGAACAGAGAAGAGATTTTTTTGGGACTGATACACGCAGCGCACGTTTCGGAAGTATAGTAACTTTGCGGACACCGAGTAATCGTAGGAAGAAGCGACAGAGAGCAACGTCTACGATGAAGATGGAAATCGAGGAAATTCTGTTGAAACGCGTTCGGGAAATGAAACCGCTTGGCTTGTTGAAAAGTATGATTTTTTTGGTAATTGTTATTAGGTAAGAATATGTGTGTGTGCGTGTGGTAGATCGTGGATCGATTCGAACCGAGGATAGAGAAGTTCGCGGAAGTAATTACAGAGGAGAGCGCTTATTAAGGGTTCGTCGAACGTGTTCTTTGCTCGTGCGTAAAGGGAGATCCTTAAACCGAGATTCAGTTCGAGAAAATAAATTGAGCTGCTTTAGATTCGTGTCACGCGATACCGGATGAAAGAGAGAAGAAAAAGTGTGAAGTGAAGAAGATGAAGATCATTTTCATTCTGGTATAATTCTTGCTTTTTTCTTTTTCCAAACAAACTGTTTATCTTGTTTCAACGCGATGATTGATATTTGATCCTACGAGACACGAGAACACCAGAAGAAAGTCCTTCGCCGTTGTTTTTCATCTAATTCGAACTACTTGATACTCGTGAAACGAAGAGATATTTCACGAAGCAAAGAAAGGAGCTGCTAAAGAAATTTTCCATCTGAATGGAAACAAGTCATTTGTACAATTATGAAGAACTCACTTAAACGTTATTCATCTTAATGGAGATATTCGACTGAAGAAGAAGAAAGGGGAGTACGAGTAAAAAGAAAAGAAGGAAACCCTATTATCATCAATGATCTAATAACTTCCTTGTTGCACCCCATTGGCTGCGGATGGTTATTGGAGCGAGAAGCAACGTGCGGGCAAAATTCATATTTTCTTTCTTCTGAAAGCTGTTGAGTATGGTTCGAAAGTAAAAAGAGGAAAAAGGAGAAACGCAGTTCACGTGGAAAATTCGAGAAAAATAGTGACGGTAAATGAAAGCATGTGAACGAAAACATGTTGTCTACCGCAACAAATGTTCTTGCTGCGTAAAAAGAAGCGGATGAAAGTGAAGGCGCAGAGATAATCAGCTTCATGTTGTCCCGATTTATTCGAGAGGTTTCAGTGGATAGTGTCGCGGAAGAGAGAGGAAAGAAGAAGAAGAAGAAGGAGTTGATCTCCGGTGTGTCGGTTTTGTGACCGTTTGACAAGAGGGATTTAGAGAGGTCCCGACGACGATTTTATTTATCAAAGTAGTCACCATCGTGGAAGATGGTGAACGTAATGTAACAATCGGAGGTAAAGAGATGACGGTGACTCCGTCGACTTCCGATGTCGCTGACAAGGCAGTATCGACGGACGACGGTGGCAGCGGAATAGAGGTGACACGTCTCGAAGCGGTTCTAGCTGCTCTCGTGGAAACGAAGGTGGAAGCGATTAAAGCTTCCTCGGCGTTGAGTAAGCGTTCCGGTAGCGCGCCGGCCAGTCCTCGCCGGCATAGACTAACTTCTACTTCGACTGCCTCCTCTTCGTTGAATCACCAACATCGAAGGAAGAGTCATCATCATCACCATCACCATCATCACCATCATCACCATCACCATCATCATCACCACCACCGCAAGAGGCATGATTCCGCTCCGTGCAACGAGTTCATTGGAGATGTTGCAGATCATCAGCACAATGCTCATCATGGTGAGTGGATTAGTGTCTGATACTTTTGTTTTTAAATAGAAGTCGAGACGTGGTTAAGTGCATGAATTTTCAAATTTCATTATCTCGGAGTTGAAGTGATATACGAGAAAATTTTATTTCATATTTTCGACTTAATTTTGCATGTAGAATTGTATTTGCTCGGTTGTGTCACTGGTTTTGGATAATTTTGTATTTTTTTTTTTTAGTGTATAATGGTGTTAGGTCGTCCCATAAGTTCGTTTCGAAAGCGAAACATATTTTAATGAAAATCTAACGAATGGGTGAAAAAATAGAAATACGCTTGCGTTTAAATATTGATCTAAATTATAAAATTCGGTAGGAACTTATGGGATGACCTAATATATGCACTCTTTTCGAATTTTTTTTGTGTGTGTATTGTGTATGTCCATTACAATTTGCGTGTATTATAAAGTTGATGAAAGTAGAATTATTAGAAAAAACGAAGTGGTTTAATGGTGATTTAAAAGGTAGAGGTAATATGCTGTTGTTTTATGTAATAACATCGGTGTGTGTTACTATTCGTGAAACTATTGAAAATTGAAATTCAGCCAATGAAATTCAAACTACTCGAATGTGAAATTCAGTCAATGTTATTGAACTAAGCAAAATTTCAATTTAGCCAATCGTATTCGAACTATTCCAATTTGAAATTTATTATGCAGAATATTTGTATACCATGCCTGTGATGGAAATATTCGTAATACAGTTGATTCGTACAATTTGCAGCGTACTGTTCAATTTTATACGAAAATCGCTTGAAATATTGCATTTACCTGCCTTCAGCAAATCATTAACAAAGTGTATCGACACAGTTTCCAATATTCTACATCCGGTGTCTAAAAAATATCAACTGAAAATTGTAACTTTGAACGTTAAGCGTGACAAATAAATTATATTTACCTTCAGAATTAGGTTTATATTTTATTCGCACGTTCGACTGCAGTTATGAACGCGAGATGATGGGTTTTTTCACGTGGAAATATTGCGAAATATGAAATGGTGAAGATAAGTCTTGTATATAGTATACTATTGCAGGTAAAACCAGGCGAAAAGCATCAGAGAGCCCACGACGTCCAAGAAAGAAGCGTAAACATTCAAAAAGCCCGAACATCATTCACGGTGTTGTCCGGGACGTCCAAGCTGGTCTTGATTCACGTTTAGAACTTTTTGGAATGGATGGTGATCAAGACCTTACATTGATAAACTTCGAAAGGACTCGAGAGACTCTTAGCGATTCCTGCGAATATCCGCAGTTGCACCGAAGTGCCTCCTATTTTCCCCAAAGTACAGCTCAATTGTAAGTGCAGTTGATAACATATTACAAGGTGTGAAACTTACGCTTTAAACCGGCTCTGCTTCTCTGTAAATCATTTTCTATCTCCGAAAACTGTGTTTTATACACATTTTCAATAGTTAATGACTATTTCGTTCTCTCAATTTCATTGCATATCTTTCTTTTTTTATTATCCTCGTTGATTCGCTATCTGTTACGAAATAACAATAAACAAATGATTTAATTCATCGTATATGAGAGAAGTATGTTTTATTCAAAGCACAATGCTTGTATAAATGTCTTCTTTTATATTTAATTTTCAACGAAGAAACACGTTAACTTAATTAAACAGAAGAAGTAGCTTAAATCATCTACACAGGGTAGAATAGTTCAATCTAAAACAATCACTTAGCAAATCTATCTCTACTAAAACTTTTTGCTTATTTACTTCCTCGATCGCTATATCTCCGCATTCTCGAATCACATTTTCCGGAAAAATCTTCTGCGGAGAGTATTTCCTAGAAGAATATTTCCCACATATTCCTTTCTATCGACGATCATTTAGATTGACGGGGTGAAAATCGCCCTCAAAGTTGGGCGTGGTAAATCTATTTAGTCTGAGGCGACTGAGAAAATAGGAAAATCCTTCACGTAACCTGAATTTATGTCGCAGCGAGTTTGCAGATAATACAGCCGTTCTGTGGAAAAACTTGAACAATTAAAAACGACGTAGTATTAGGTTGGTGCACGTTGTTTTTTCAAATGAAACTGTATGTAATCCAAATAATTTCCACTTAACGTAGAAATTTTCTGGGTTTTTATATGGACTAGAAGGGAAAGGCAGAAGTAGAGATTAAGATAGATTAAGATGGAAATAGAGAAAATACTGGAGAAGGAAAATTCTTAGAAAATGGAGCCGTTCGCCTTCGTGCAATCTTGTACGCCATATGTGCGCTCCTTAGGCTGCTGAAGGGCGGAGGCGAGATCTTTGAAACTGCAAAGACAAAAGGACGGAAACAGAAAATCTGAAAAAGTCTGAAAAGAGAAAGCTTGGGCGAAAGAATAGAAAAAGGTTTCGGAAAGTGCTCAATTTAGTAAGGACGTGTTGGCTGTGACATAATCGCCACAGGTCTAATATCTCGAAAACTACAAAGGACAAAGAAATGGTACAGGATTTTCTGTTTTTTGAACGACCTAACAAATTTGAAAAATTTTTAATAAAAATGTCAGAGCATTGTCAGATCACTTTACGTTTTAATTAATATTCGTTTATTTACCATAAATGGTAATCCTGTTTGATATTTAAGGAGCCCAATTTAATTAACTGAAACAAACATCAGATAAATTTAAAAAATAAATTCGTACAGTATAGTTGAAATTTTATCGATTACGAATGAAAATTTCTGAAATTAAAATACTGACTTTTCATTGAGAATCGTTAGTTACTGATTTTCGTCTGTTACAAATGACAATTCTACTTGCTGTATCGCAGTTTCACGGCGATGCCAAAGGAATGTTCACAGGCGTGTTCGCGAAGAAAGGAACTTGATTTTCCTGTAAGGGCAATACACCGCAAAATTGGGTCACCTCGGTGCATACTTGCACGTCGCCGGTCTTTTCATTAGACATTTATCCAATACGATTTCATGCTAGACTCGCTTGGTGAACAAAGCATGTTTGAAACTTAAATTAAAGGTGATGACCGTTAGCTGCAAACGACCAAGAAGAGACCTCGTGGTGTCTCTAGATAATTGCTTTTTTATCATTTTTCTTTGGTAATCATTCATAAAGCGTTCGTGAAATTCGTATGAAAGAATTTTCTAGATTCAAATTTTTAGAAAAAAGATTAAATTCAAATTTTCTAGAAAAAAGAGAATTAGAAACAAAATCACTATCGAAATTTAATATACTGGTAACAGAAAAATTAATTAAGAAAATTATGTTAGTGTACGAATCTGTTGATAACGAGTGCAGAATGCAGTAAAAGAATTACTCTGTGCAGTGAGTTTTAAAATGTAGGTCCAAATGGAGTGTATAGTAATCACTAAATGGCGTTAGGAGAAAAGAAATTTAATACAGGGTGTCCCAGTTTTTTCTGATCAAACTTTCATAGTATCTTCCATGAGTACAAGTAAGAAATAACAATTTTACCTCTCAGAGGCATCAGTTAACGATGATTCACTCTACTCCCTAAATTACTAAATTTCTACACTTCTTTCTATGTTTCTAAAGCAACAGGATGCTGAGAATTACATTTTGTACCGAAAGTATTGATTTTTTTATTTCACGTTGCCTAACAAGAGTACTCTGTACGTGCTTCCTACTCTTTTTGGTGAATATTGTATGTCCTTGAAGTTTCAGATCCTTTTTTTTTTTAATATTTTACATGTATCATACATGGTTGGTACATAATTTTTACATTTTTTTTTTTTGCAATGGCTAAGGAAAACAGTGCAATACGGGTTTCGAGAATTTTAAAATGGTCCAACACTTTGGATTATTTCGACTGAATTACTTAGAAAAAATTTAGAATTCCATATGGAAACGATTTATTCTCACGAATTGAGATAGTGTACTTTCTATGTATCTTTCGTATCTTCTACGTGTGTCTGCGCGCGTGTGTATCCTTTGTTTATATAATTTTAATTTGGGAGGCAATGCTTGAAAAATATAACATGACCTATATTAAAAGTACGTCAGATAGATGTTTTATCAAGTCGCTTTGACTGACACGTTTCTGGATCGAACCACTTGTGTGAAAAAACGAAACTTGCTTTTAATTGTAGATTTCTTTTTAACCCACTTCAGTTAGGAACAATATAGTGGCAAAATTAATGTGTTCGTTAATTTGTTCATTTTTAATGAAAGGAATGAATATTGCTAATGTTTACTCACTTTGCTTCGAAGAATAGTTATTTTGTCAATTAATAAATTTGTGAATACTATTTGGGAATTTAAATAATCTAATTTTTTAAACAATTGTGTCATTTTTACATTTCTGACTTGTATGACTAACACTGGTTAGAAAGTTAGAAAGAGTACTTTGTATTATGAAAATTTGAAATATTTCTATATTTATTTAACGAATGTCTAATAAAAATTTCCTTTAATTACTGTCACATAATATGTCATATGATTCCAATTTTTAATTTTTGTAAAAAAATGTTATCTGTCCTTGTTGAACTACAACAGAAAACTGTTTAAATAAATATCGAAAAAATAAATATCGCTAAATCAATTAAAGATTGTTCGAAGCACATCTCTTAACACAACAAAATGAATGATCCGCGATAGAAATATAGCTTGATCCTTAATTTCTGATTAATTTCGATAAATAGACCTTGTGAAAAATCCGATCTTATCCTTCTAGAAAAATCCACTACGACGATGACGATTATGTAGCATTAAACGTAGCGGACGAGTTGGAAGAAGAGGAAATCTTGAGCGGTCCCGAAAAGATCGAGGCACCTCGGGAGAAGTATCACCGACCCCGTAGAAAGAAAAAACGGAAACGACGTAAGGTTATCAATACTGGTCCTCAAGAAGAGCTCGTCGATCCTGAAGAACTTCCGCCACGCGCACGTTGGACGATCGTCGCAACTGCTTGCCTCCTTCTTACAATGTCTTTGCTTTTGGTCGGAGTTACACTCAGAATGGCGCCGATTATCGACGACATGGGTAAGTGAAACGTTCAATTGTTTAAAAATATATACGAAGTTCCTCGTAACTAATGGTATCATCGAGAAAGAAACGATATTGCGTGAAAAAGATGAATGAAAAATATAGAACATGTGTTTCGTTTTGAGACTTAAGCTTCAAAGAACTGAACACACAGTATTTTAGATATTTTTTAATGTTTAGATTATGAATCATTCGGAGATAAATGTTTCTGAAATTTTAATCACGTTAGAATACATACTTGTAAAAATGTGTATATATCTAAGGTAGAGGACATTTTAATATAATTCGATAATTTGAAAAGAAATTTTTTCGGACCAATATTTATGAAAATGTTTCTTCTTTTTATTAAGTTCGGTAACCCGAAAATTCTCAAAGATTGAAACTGCAGAAATGTAGTTCAAGTGACGCTAATTACAAAACCATTTTTTGTTTCGGCAGTGAAATGGTCCTAGAGGTGAAAACCCTCTCAAAAAAATTGCGAGTTCTCATATCGTGAACATTTACGAAGCCGTACAAGATATGGAAAAAAAAGTGAAATTCAGAGTTGTGCAATTTCTGATATGCTACATTATAGTGGTGAAGAATTTTCGAAAAGCTTTACGTTTTTTTTTTAGAAGAATTAAGAGTGACGGGGGCAAATTTCGTAAAAATATTCTGCACACGTACTGCGTAATATATTCTTTTGTATTTGTTACTGCAGCAAAGTCTAGTCATACGCTATGACATAGCGTTTTAACCCCTTTGCTACTGTGAGCCATTGTAATGGTTTTCTGCAGTTACCTTTGTGCATGAATGGCCACTATAGTGCTACAAACGGCCACTATAATCCACAACTATACAATGCACAAAAAACATACCAACTGGCGAAGCAAGAATAGGTTATTTATTATCGATGCACAGCAGCAATGTTCATTTGCGTATCAACATCCTATTGTTCTCGAAAATATTGTCGAAGAAATGTAATTTAAATTTATTCTTTTCGGACACCTTTCTTCACACTATTTACGAAACTACATTATACCTTTGTAATTATTAAGCAAATTTTCATGAACAAATCGTAACAATTTTGTTACACCTGTTTAAGTGTGAATATATATGCAAAATTTGGATTAGTTTGCATCCTATAATACCTTTGCAATTATTAGACAAATTTTCATAAAAAAATCGTTTAACTGTAAACGTATATGCAAAATTTGGATTACTTAATATTCTATAAAATTTGGGCAATGCAACAAACTATCTGGCAATTCCCTCAAGAACCAGGATTCCAAGTGATTTCGAATGCCAGCCTCATATTGGCCACAAGTAAACTTGCTTTCCAGGATGCAGTTTGATTTCGAGTCATCTCGACAAGTTCATTAAACGTCCTAGCTTCTCTCTCTCCCCGAAAAGTGGTCGCCGCAACCTTTTGGCCAATTAACCAGTAGAATTGTGTTGCGCTCGGTAGTGTTTCTGGAACAGTATATCCCGCGTGAAAAAGCACTTTTGTCTCGGTTTTGTGTATAAAGAACGTTGCACACACATACGCGTACATGTCAGCCAGAAACGGGCATATGCAGTGTGCAAGCTCGAGGGCGCTCCGCGCCTCTAAATTAAAGGCGCACGTCTGCGAATTCTCCAGTCAGCCGTCGGATTTCCGTGGAGGAACCACCTCGAAGATTTCATTTCGCGATTTGCTGTTTAACTTCCTTCACTTTGTGCTTCTTTAAAAGTAACCGACGAAAAGTTCTCAGCGACTATACTCTCGCAGACTAATGTTACGAGGATCGGTTAACCAGTGTTTCCTTACAAGTGATGCAAGTGCCAAACGTGCCCTTCTTCTAAACACACCGACTACGCTTATTTCGATGCTCTATTTCCGATCGGGATAGTTTCGTATGGTCGCGTGTTGTTTATCCAAGCTTTCAGATTTGCTGTAACCGGAACGTCAGATCTGTTATCAAGTAAGAATTACTTGTTTTTTTTTTTTTTCGAGCGTTTGTACGGTTCGACGTGTTGCCAGTGATTTAAGGTTCGATTGAAATTTGGTTTTTATTGTGAAACAAGAGAGAGTTAGCTGACGATTGAAGCTGGAAATTTATAGGAGTAAATATGTACAATTTTTCGGTTTAAAATTATGTTAATGATTGTGTTTCAACGGAATAAAATTATAATACAGTTTATAGTATTGCAACGCACTGAAAGTTATGTTTTGCAGCAAATTGGTTGTAGTTTTCCCTCATTCGACGCATTCTCAATAATATTAACATGGCAATGGGTAAAATGAATTAGTATTATCGTGGAACGAGTTATTCGACTCTTTCGATTGTATGAAGCTTTTTATACGAGCTTTGATGGCTTTCTTTTGTTCGACAAGATTACTCGAAAAAGTGGAGTAAAAGCATTTTACTAAATCATCATTCGAGAAAACAAGAAGTATCGAAAAATTACAGGATGGTATTTAAACGCCGTTGCGTTTTCTTCTTGAAGTAAAGAGTGGAATGCAATTAAGAATGCTTTATTTCGTGCAGTTTTAGCAAAGTAGAGAGTAATACACAGTTTAGCTTAGTAAGTTCCAATTTCGCTCATTCCTGTATTGATTTTCACTTACTGATTTTAGAGATGGAAATGCATTTCCATCCATATTTTGCTGTGATACACTCGAAAAAACTTGTTGACGATAACTTGTTAAAATATTATAAGTTAAATTTTTCAAGTATATCTTCAAGTTATTAGAATAGTTTTTATAGAAGATTTTCAAACATCCTACAAAGTAAGTTGAAGAGAATAAAGTTGTAGCTATTCTGTGAAAACTCCAACAGTCTTATCCAGTATATGATATTTAGCAAATCTATTCTGAAGCAAAGAGGATATGCGAACCACGAATCTACTTCTATTTCTGACAAATTTGTGAGAAAAATAAAATATTAGAGGCAGAAGTATGCAAAGAGGATTTTCCTTGTATTTTTCATACGCTTTTTCTTTCACGTTTCCAGCAAAACCATGGTCATCCTTTGCATTGCATGCTTTAACTCCCATGCATTTATTTTCTATGCTTAAGTAGCCGCGAAGAAAGTCGAAAGAATTTGAATTAGATACAAGACCATCCTTTACAATTTTTTATTTAAAGAAACTGTCATTTTGCGCATCAGAATGTAGTAGTACCACATCTCTTCTTTTCTTTTTCTTTCGATTGCAAGACAAATATTTTCTGAACGCAGAGGAACATTATTTTATAGGAAATCTCTTTAGTTACTTAGCGCGAGCTATGAAGTACACTATTATACACTAAAATTAAACAATGCTTATTATCACAGTGATTATGTATAGTTACAAAGTAGGAGGTCGTCAGTGTGATGAATTCTGTTTGCATATTCGCAATTTCCGTAAATTTTCTTCTGTTATATTATTTATTATTAGCTTCGCAGAAATAACACAGCTTAAGCCATTGTATTTATAGGTAACTCGAAAATAAGTAATCTGTGCAATCTAACCAGAAATTGAACGTATCGATTATTTTATACCATTTTGCACTGTAAAGAATGGTTTATACTTTGAAGCTGTTACTTTTAGAAAATTGGATTTCTCGCATCAAAATTCTCAAAATGCAATGTACATTTGCGCTGCAACTCCTGTAATTCGCCTATTAGCAAAAATTAACCTGTATCTGTCAATGATCACGGCGCAGACAAATTTTTTCTCGAACGGATGAAAGAACCAATTCCGAATTGACATCGGTTAAGCTCCTCATCTCTCTCGAAGATTACGTGTATTTTGACGCCTGACTGATTTTACGATCTCGTTATGTCGCTTCCTCCGACTATACCACTGTTCGCTATCTTTTTCTTCTTCCTCAATCCTTAATCCTCCAAAAAGTGCAACTTTGTTTAATTATTTTCCTTCACTTTTCATACCTCGCTATCCTTTCTATTCCGTGGCCAAAATTGAAGTCACAGAGTTATAAATAAATGGGAAACTTATTTTTACAGGCCCAGAAAATAATTGAAAAAGCAAAAATAAAATTGATCGTTTTCGGTACATCAAATTGAGAAAAATATGAGCGTTAAGGGGTTAAATTCACCATCATCCCACACAGCTTACTTAGTAGTTAAACATTTCTTCAGGGTAAGCACTCAGACCCCAGAGATCTAGCCTCCGCATATATATTTACCTATCTGAATCACGATATCAATCATGGGCCACTTGAGAATCGCATTTAATCGTTATCTAGCATTCGACTCCATAGGTTATGGATGATAATTCAACCGATACCTAACTACCGTACTCTCCGCTATCTCTTGTTACGGGAAATCTAGGTTTCTTATACCAATCCTCCGGATGTGAACGATGACGCGATGGGAAAATCAGCGTATTTCTCGCCCTTGAAACTTTCAGTCTGCAGGGTGGTAGTACGGCGCTTTGATGGGGAGTTAGAGACCCAAGGGCGGGTAGTGGGTTTGAACTTGCGCTAATTGCCTCTGCAGCACATCGTGGATTTATAACACGTCAATCGTTATTAAGTATGCTGAAGCGAGGCATCAGAGGCACATGGATTGTAAAAACGCCGAGTTTTTGCATCCGTAAAATGCTTCCCGGGCTTAGCCATCTGGTTTAAAGTGCATCCAATAAATAACACGTCTTGAACAATAGCTAAAAAATAGCGCGGTGAATCTGAAGTCCTGATGACGAGCAGAAATTCATTCCTCTGTGTATAATTAACGATAAAACATTGGATTGCTGTTATCGTGATTTTGCTAGAGACGTGGAATCTCTAATTCGGTAAATTATAAATCTAAAAAAGGAGGTTTGTCAAGCCTAACATTTATTTATACGTTTCGTTCAATTTTTCTATGAAAAAGTGTAATTATTGAAAATTTCCCGAGTAAATATTAATTTTAATTAAATTTGAATCTCTGGGTGTTCTGAAAGTTCCGATCTCTAATTTATTAATATTTTTGTCAAGCCCGATAGTTATTTATAAGTTTGGCTTAATTTTCGTATGAAAAAGTGTAATTATT